AAACTGTTTTGGCTCCCCATCCCGGGCATGGCCCTGCAGATGAGGATTTCTTGGGCGAGAGCGGGGCCGTGCTGGGGCCTGATATGTGCTCGGGTGCAAGTGCGCGTGCGTGCGCGTGAATCACGCCGAGAGCGTTGCGCGGCTCCCAGCCATGTGTGTGAGATGGGCTGCGTGAGCATCCTTTCGCTGAAGGATTAGATGCATTAGACGCAAACGACTTATCAAACTCGCGCAGAATCTGAAATGCGCACAGTGACATCTTCAGGCTCACGTTTGCTAGTGCTAGTATGGCTCCCGAACGGCTAGACAGCTAGGGAAGCCAGCACAGGCACGACTTGATCTTGCTTTTCGAGCAGCGTTGTGCGCAATATGTACATGTGTTCCCCCCACCCCTTCCCCCAGCCCCATGGCTGTCGAGATGACCTGATAAACGGACCCACGCGTGGTGTTCGCCCAGTGGCCTACCAAAGTGAAGTGCTAAACGACAACTCCTGCAAGCTGCACCGCGCAGCTGTCGTGATGTTGCTCGAACCGATCCCTCCAAAAACCGTTGCAAACAGAACATGCACTGCAACAGCACGACGCCAATACTTGAAATTTGCAATTGCCATGATGCTCAAACACATGAATCTTAGGGGAGGCCCCCCTGAACCTTGTACAATACCACTGCCACCTTGTGGCGGGGTCTAGGAACCAGATACGGTCCTAGACACGATTTTGTCAGATGGGTTTCATAGCCAAACAAATCCGATCTTACGAGCTGACGCTTGGCGGAGGGATGTCACCGCTGCTAGCTAGAGCAGCGGAGTCACTCCGCTGGCGGGAAGGGTCTTAGGTCATCGGCGATTTAGTCCGATACTTGGCGCCTGGATGTGTTTTGCATATCGGAAGCCTTTGTTCCTTTATTTGTGATTCAGGCATGACAACCATCGGGACAAATCCGTGCCTGGATCGCTGCTCCATCGATCCCTCTATACTCAATAATCTCGAAACCGTAATGCCGTAATACCTAAACACACACACACACACACACACACACACACCGCTACATGCAAGAATCTTTGTCCCAACGGTTTCTATAAGTAAGGTATTGCTTGCTCTCGGGAATGCCCAACAACGACATGCAGCGACAGTCACATGTGACCTGCTTTGTTTTGCTCCGAAATATCCCCCGCTCGAAAGGTGAAACTCTGCAGAAACTGCGCAATGCTTGCTGCATTTGCATCTTCAGGCCGGTCTGGCATCTCACTGCTCACTGTTAAAACATGGATTTAGTTTAGAGGTGCTGGCCCTTTGCTCAAACAGTCGTGCATTCATGAATTCGAACGCCAGCACAAGTGGCCTTAGGACAGATCATCAGGAATTTCCACGCGCGGCTTGGTCTCGAGTATACACAACACCACCACCACGACTACTACCAGTTTATTTCCAACGAAGGTGGTATATCACAAAAGGAGGAATCCAGTCAAATATAATTCCATATAATAAAAGTCGTGGCTCAAGCACTCGGTCGAACCCTCTCTCTTTTCGCGCAAGCGGGGTATGTCATGGTGAGAGTCAGCATGCATCGTGAAGCAGAAAGGGTGCACACACCCATCACATCGCATACAACATGTGCCAATGCACATGAAGATGAACGGCAATCCGTCATCTCTCACCCACCCCACTCCAAGAGAGATGTTAGGAAAGAGTTATGACCTGTTGCACGATATCCCGGTATGTGGCAGCGACTGAGGACGCATCGGCAACTCGGTCCTGTGGCAAAAGTTCGCAAGCAATGCTACGACTCGGTGCATCTGCAATATTGCTGCTCGATGGTACACGTGCACACCAGGGCAGAAGGGTACTCTGTTCACAAGTCCTGGCAAAGACATGACAAACTCTGGTGACGGCCCACGATGCTGAGTAGCCCTTTATCAGAGCAAAGCGTGCACCCTCATTGTCAAGGTATGCCATGCACTCTGAAGACGCGAGGTGCTGGCTCCAAAGCATGAAGGCCACCACCACTGCAACAGTTTCCAGCTCGCCGATACCCGTGATGGCATCCACTGGAATCAAAGGGCGAATATCGCTCTCGCTTAAGGGCAGTCCGAACCAGCTAACAACCGAACCCAAAGGAGAGATTAGAACGCCCCCTAGCCCCCCAGTGAAGTCAGGCTCAAAGCTTGCATCTGTGAAGACAAACCAAGGCTGCCCCAAGGATCTTGTGATGCGCCTCGGGGACCCATGCAACACACGATCAAGTAGAAAACTAAGAGCTTCCCGAGCGGGATCGGATAGCTTGGGAACAAAAGGCCAAGCATGAACATGGGAACTGATGTGCTTGAGAGCGTAATGCCCCGCTTTCCCCATGACTTGAGAGTTCGCAAAGGAGAGCTTGCCTCTCAGCTCAAGACCTTCTTTGTAAGGCAAGACACCTTTATCAAGGATGCGGGTCACAAAAGCACGAATGTCGCCTTTACGTTTCTCCGTGTTGTCAACAGTGACCACGCAGTCGCCGGTATTCTCCAAGTCAAAGCGAAGTCCCAGGGCAGATACTTGCCTGGAAAACACATCAGCCTTGGGCCCCTCCATGTCGAAGACCCAACCAAGGAGTTGGAACAGCAGTTCCATTGTTGCACCCGTGTTGTCGGCAAGACAATCGGGTGAGGCGACAATGAAGTCATCATAGTAAGAGGTAGTGGGCACAAGCAAGCAACGATTGGCAAGCCATTGGATGCACCTGGAACACCTGATGAAGCCATTCACTGAAGCCCGCGATCCAAAGGGGAGGCAGACCTGAGTGAATAGCATGGTCTTTTGCTGGTGCGGGTCATACACCGCAATGACAGCAAAGCGGCGCGAGCTCAAGGCTACGCACAATTGGCGGTAAGCCGCAGTCAAGTCGAAGGCACGACCCTTGATCCATGAGGGTTTCTTAGAATCACGAAGCTTCGTGCACAACCTGACGAACATAGCAGCTGCCACATCTGCAGTATCCACAGTGGGCTGTTCCAAAGTCGTCACACAAGAGTTTACACCGCTTTTTCCTTCACCCGCAGGAAAGCTGTCGTTGGTCAACGCCTCGCGTAGGCCCTAAGCGAGCACACGGTAGTTGTTGTGTGCCGGCAACTTCAAGTTGCTAGGGCACTCCGTGCCGAAGCACAAGAGCGAGTGCCGTGCACGCCCGACACGAATGTACAGCGACGTGCACGCTACAGAAAACTAAGTACAAAGCTCGAGTCAAGGATCTAGAAAGGCATATGCGACAATGACAAAGAAGTACACTGTACAACTAACGGTTTTTACCGAGGTTCAGCGGGCTCAGACAGTAAGCAAAAAATGAAAGCATCATAGATGGACATGTCGCTTCATGCAGTGCCGCCCTCGGCACTCTCCCAGACTCTGCGAAGAAAGACTGCATCACAATCTCGAGCATGAATGGTCGTATCACTGAGCTTGACAGCTTTGGCACTCCTACCATTGGTATGCGTATGCCATCCAGTCTTTTTGAGGCTCGTCCAGTAACGAGCGCCGAAATGACCATCGGAAGCAGAGCACAAGACCACAGATATTATGTGATATGTCACGGCATGCGTTGTAGTACCCTCCGCACTGAAGCACGGCACCTGAACTGTGGTTGGCGCTTTGCCTTCCTTAATCAGTCGCCACTCACCCGCTGCACTGTTGAGCCACCTGGGGGACATGACACAAAGCAGCTGCGGAGCTTGGACAAGAGCACAACGATCGTCCTGGATTCGCCAATCTGAGAAAAGAGCAGTCAAATCGTGAGTGAGTGAGTGAGTGAGTGAGTGTCGACCAGCACTTACGGTGCGGCCTACCTCCCACGTCCCTCTCAACATCTCAGGGGGGCTCCGCAAGCGTCATCGCCTCCCTCCGTCCCAGAGTTCAAGTGGGGGAAAAACTAGCTGGTGCAGACAGGTCACGGTGTAGAATACTAAGGTACATGTTTCAAACCCAAGAATCGGAGAGGCATAGTCCTTGATCAGGGATAAAGCAGGCAGGAGGCCAAGCCAGACGTCACCAACCGATAATACTTATGCTTGTATGCAACAAAGAACACACCAAGTAACCGGCAGCAGACGCAAAGAGTTGAAAGGGGGCGAACCGTGCGGCCAGTGCCGAGGGAGCGAGGCTCCATGCACAGAGGGCACACACAAGGCGACCCAAAGGCGTGCGCCATGTGCCGAGGGAACACTGTTCCAGCACCGAGGGCGAGCACGCCACCAATCAGGTACAGTAAATGAACATGCACATCACCGCGGCAATGAACAGCACAGAGGCGCAGCCCTGGAACAAGGCCGATAACAAAGGTAGCAATCCAGGGAGTTGCTAATGCATATGGTGAGCGTGGAATACCTCACATATACACTGAATGTCCTCAGGCCCATGATGGGTGGAGACGTCGGCATCGCCGGATCAGTTGCAACAACAGTTGAGCCAGAATACTAGAGGGCACTGTCGCCCTAGCACAGGGGAGGGGGGGAAAGGGGGTGCTCATCGGGCAAAAGCCCTTAGTGCCGCCGCCCGGGGTCCACACCTTTCCACAAGAAACCCCCGCCCCAAAGAGAGTGCTAGGCCCGGGGGAGCAGTCAAATCCAGATCGCATGTATCATCACTGAATGTAGCCTGCAGGCATAGCGGGAGCCAGGTGTCACCAGCATGAGTACAAGTGCAAACGCCGTGATGAGAGGTTCTAGCCTCCCATCTGCCTTTCAGGGCCGGTGAGGCAGCCTTGGGTAATATGTGTTGGAGCCACCGCAAAACATCGGCCTTCTTAGGATCCCAACCTTGTAACGAGGATCGCCACGGAAGTGAGGATGCCAGCCTGAAAGAGGCGCCCAATGCAACGAAGGATTTGACGGCATGTGCAAGGGTTCCTGCTATGAACTCGATGTCATAATAGTCGGCTCCTGCCATAAGCCATGCTATCATGCATGCCACCATATAGCCATGCCGATCGTGCAACGTGAACGACGTAGCTAAGAGCCCTGCAGCATTCAGCGGCGTAGCGCGGCCGCCATTTTGGCAATCTGCTGTGCCAATGGCTGTAGGTTCACCCGCTCGCCCCGAATGCGCACTCCCACGGTTCTCAAAGCTGCACTGCCCGTCAGGTCGCTCAGGATGTCGTGGGCTTGTTGTGCCTTGGTTCCTCTCATCGCCACCGACAGGATGAAAGGCATCGTGTCGCCCATGACCGATTCGGTGAGCTTTCGGGTGGAGTGAAATCGGTGAATGAGCCGTTCGGTCTCGGAATTCACCAACGCCTGGAGGTTGGTCGCGGCCCGCAATATCGTTGAGTGGCCCACGGGTGGTTTGCTCGGATCCAGCTCCAGCTGTCGGGTTTGCTGGTTCCATTGCTGAAAGTTCCAGTGCAGCTCGTCTACGCCCTGCACTTTCACCCATCCCTGTGCCTCCATCTTCTTGACCGTCTCCGTATCCTTGGTCATGATGTCCAGCCTCGCCATCCACTCCGCGAGGACGCTCTTGATCAAGGCCACACGTAACGAGCTGGTCACGGTTGGTGGAGTTTTGTCTTTGCCTGCTTTCCACACTTGAGCCACCTTCCACAAGGGGGAGAGCATTCCCTGAGGGCCAGACTCCAGACGCAGCAGGAATTGCTTCTCCGTTCGAAGAAGCTGCAACTCTTCCTCTTGCTTCAGGGTCAGCCGACACAAAGCTTCCATCAGCTTCTCGAGATCCGCACGGTGCTGCGGCCGCCAACTGTGGTAATCCCAGTCGTCGCGCTCCCAATTGTTCCAGCTTCCCCTGTTCTTTGCATCGCTGCCCCGTTGGCCCCCTTTGCCCTTGCCCAACTGTGATCTGGGGAGCGTCTTGTCTCCCATCGGCTCTTGCCTCGAACGTTTGCCCCGGTTGGGCATGTCGAGGCCACTTCCTCGAGAGATCCCGCCTTGAGGTTCGCCAATGCCGGCAGGCAGTTGGCGAACACATCCTGAATCTCCGCATCGTATGTCATGCCTCATGCAGATTTGGAGTGCATGCTGCAGTAGAGGAACACATGTGTGCACGTGCTCGGCCTTCTTGCTGGATTTGGCCCCGCACAGAGAGCAAGGAGTCGAAACTGAGCCCACCCACGCTGCACAAAGAAGTTGCACTTTAGGCTGCATGTCACGCCAAAGCTCACTGTGCTGGCGTTGCATGTGCGTTTTGTAACGCTGTTTGGAAAGGTCTGCACGACAGATCTGACATGTACCGAGCAGTGGTTTTACCTCCTCAGCTGAAGGATAAGGCTCATCGCTCGGCGCCGTCATGTCAGCGGCATCCTTGGGACCTCCATTAACGAACCATGACATTGCCAACTGAAACAAGACCGGGCATGTGGCACGATGATCCCTGCCTGGTTGGGCCTTGTGTCCGCACCACTGACATGTCCCTTTGATGGGGGCAAAGTTGTTGGTGCACCACACTCGCAAACGAGAACTGTGCGCCTTCCATTCGTCCTTGTGGACGCGGCCGTAGTGGACCTTCATATAATTCTCATTGGGCAACCATTGCCTGCACAACGTACACCGCTCGAGGAGCTCCTTTTTGAGGTCGTCATTCGGGGGGTTGAGCATGACCTCGGGAAACACAATTTCATCAGCAAGGACCTTGGCAAGCAGTGGGGGGTGGACGTCATCATAGCCAGCGCGCTCGGGGGCTTGGCATCGTCCAAGCTGCACATGTCGCTGTAATTCCTCCCATGTGCCGAACTTGTGCCCGCAATTGATGCACTGTGGGAGGCCGTCCTTACCATGAAGTAGACGATCGAAGCGCTCACCCTTGGCCTTGTTCTCGCCACTGCGATGGACCTTGGCACGATGTTGACGGAGTGACGCTGCCGTGGGGAAGCGTTCGCCACAATCAGGACAGGGCAAATCATCGGTGGCCCCCGTTTTGGAGGAGTCAGCCGCCAGTTCCTGTAAGCCGTGTAACACCTCAGTTTCATGGGCCAGCAGCGCGGCATCGAGCCTGAAGTCACCGGGGGAAAGCTTGGCGCGAAGCTGCTCCGTTCGGTCCAAAGCGTTCCGTTGCCTGTCGATGAGAAGCTGCAGAGGAGTTGGCATTCCCAGGTTGAGCAGGAATTGAGCGTCAGACTCCAGTGTCAAATGCCGTGGCCGTCCAGCTATGGCCCGAAGTTGCCTGAGGAGTGCAACCCTAATGCATGACTCAGTGAGTCCCGAGGCAGTTAGCGAGTAGAAGACCGTGGGTAGCACATAGGCCTTCCAGAGTCTCAGCCGTTTCGCCACTGGCCACGTGCGTTTAGAGTGAAGATGCTGGCGAAGCCAGTTGTAAGTGGCAATCCCTGCCTGGCAACGGTGCGTGGCATTAAGTTCTTCGAACCGACCAAAGGAGATGATGGCTCCAAGATATGTGTGCTGGGCCTTGACGGGTAAAGTGAGGTCCTGGTTCAGCCGAAGATGGTGCTTGCCCTCATGCTTTACAACGATCTTCCGACGATAGGCCTCGGCTTGAGGGCCCGCCAATTTGAGGAGAATAGCTGTTTTGTCCTTACTCACCGTGAGGCCTTGTTGTTCCAACAGGTTGATGATGGCCGTGGCTTCTGAGATCGCGGCTGCCACATCCTCTCGAGAGTGGAACGTCCACTTGAACAAGTTGTCATCGGCATATCCAATCAAGCGCTGCCTGCACCAATCAACCCCAAGCTGCTGCTCCAAAAGATGAGTGAGGTAAACAACCACACAGTTCCATAACGAAGGTGATAGCCGGCACCCCTGACGGATCCCCCGGGAAGTCGGGAACGTTTGCGCGTGGCCTTCTTTCTGCACTACATAGCGAACGGAGTGAACCCATCGTAGCAAAAGGGAGCGAAGACTGAGGGGGACACCAATGTGAATCAGAGCCTGCTCAAGGAGGTCCCGGCCCACTCTGTCGAAGGCCTGCGTCAGGTCGATGCTCAGCAACATGCCGCCAGCACATCCCTTTGCCTGGTGACCGGCAAACTTGTCGTAGAGGGATCTGTTCTGTGCCTGGCTGAGCGAGCGCACAGACTTGCAGTGGATAAAGGCGTGTCCAAGAGCTTGTTGCACCGATCTACCAGGTAGAAAGCCATATTGATGACGAGCTTCCATGTGGGGCAAGATGTAGGTGTCGAGCTGCTTTCGGAGTATTCCCGATACCGCCTTACCGACCGGGTCAAGTAAAGCAATCGGCCGGAGGTTTGTTCCCGGCCTTGTTGGCCTTCTGCAGAAAGGTGAGCCAGGCATCGGCCCAGGCAGTGGGTATGTGAGCGCCGCTAGAGCGCCATTCCTGAAGAAGTCCTCGTTCCAGGACCTGCGACACCGGCTCTGCGACACAGCTCCAAAGTGCATGAGGTGCGTAATGTGCCGGTGCAGCTTTGTTCGATGGCAGGCTTTCAAGGGCCTGTTGCACAGCATCCATTTCGAGGTCAAACGTCGTGGCAGACGGTGCCTGCACTGGGTCTTCGGCCGTTGTGACCTCTTTCCAGTACGATGCGAGTGCCTGGACTTCGGCCTGAGGCATAAGAATCGCCCCCGTACTCGAACGAAGCTGAGCCCTGGCCTTCGGTTGCTTGGGCACGTGCCTGCGCAGCAGAAAGAAGAGATGATCGATACGTCCATGGTGATCCTGTGCCTCCGCATGCCGTAGAAGTTCATCAAAGCGATGTCTGCGAAGGAGCCGGCTGTTGCGACGTACGATTTGGTGCAGCTGGTGAAACCGGGCTCTGCACCGCCAAGCCCGAAAGCAAGCTCGAAGACCTGAAGCACATTTCTGAAATTGTTGTCGGGCCAACCTGTACTGCAACCACATTTCCCTGATGGACCCTTCATGCTGTGCATCTTGCCATGGTGGGTGTAGCCCACTCGGTCTCACAATGTGGAAATGATCCCTGCTCGCCTTCATGAGAACTTGATTCACACGATCAGGGCAGAAGTCATGCATAGCTTGGAGCTCCCTGGAGACTTGTGCCTTGAAGTCCTGAACATCTGGCCCATCTGCTGCGATCCTGTCGGCTAGGAGCTTACACTTCCACTGCGGCCAAGCGGGCTGGGGTCGCGGCCGAGCGAATTGGAATCGGCGGAAACGCACTGTTACAAGCACGGGTAGATGCCTGCCACCACCTCTCCAGCGAGCCACCGGAAAGGTCACGAGCATACGCGCCGATGAGCTGAGCGTAGGACCTTTGCGTCGCACCAGCACGTAGTCCAGGAAGGAGCGGGTTTTCTGCGAGTGATGTTCAAGTATGTGTGTGTAGCTACCCTGCTTACCGAAGGTGTTCACTGCCTGCAAGCCGAAGTCGTGGAGGATGGCCTCGAAGTCCTGTGCATCCGCCGACGGGGTCGGGTTGTTCGAACTCATACCTGTGCCAAAGAACGGGGCTTTAGGCTGCACCACGGTATTAAAATCTCCACATACCACAAGTTGATTGCCTCGGGGCAGCTGCCCCAAGGTTTGGCGAAGCGCTGCCCACACCTTCGATCGTTTGGCTAAGATGTCCGCTTCATTGCTCCAGCCACCCCATGCATGCAGATAGGCACCTACCACGTCCACCCATCCATGCTTATGTTGTGCCCGTACGTGGAGAAGTCGTCCTTCCATCACGTGGGAGTAGCGCACCGAACCATTATCAAAGACCGACCGTCTCAGCATGATCATAACCCCAGCCTGCGCCCGCGAGCTCGTTGCTTTCATGCCGCTCTGAACGCAAAGCCAGTCCCCCGCAAAGAACTCCGAACACTCCTTCATCCATGTCTCTTGTAGGCAGACAACATCGCAATCACAACCGCGCAACCACGTGTAGAATTCGTCCTTTAAGGTCGAGAACCCTCCGCAGTTCCAGGTTATCACCGTGATCGTAGCTGAAGCCTGGGAACGAGTGCCGAAATCAATGAGGGGCCTCTGTTCATGCTGTCCGCGGTTGGGCCGATACTGGGCTCTGAGCTCATGAGCTTGCATGATACGACCACGATAGCGAGCAAAGCCATCCCGACCTGCTCTTGCCAATGCTCGTTTGTATGCTCTCTTTCGGGAAAAACTGTAGCTGTTCTGGCCTTTAGCACAAAATTTCGCAGCATCGGGCGCCTTGTTGTCATCACGATGTGTGCTGCTCCTCAAAGACGTGTGCTTCGCCTCTGAACCCTCACCTCTGCTGTCTGGAGCACCCTGATGAGACCCAGACTTCACAGCCAGCGGACTTGGGACCGCTGCGGCCACATCGAGATCATGCTGTAGGTTTGCTGCATCTGCTGAACTCTGAACATGTAAATTGCCAGAAAGCATGCCAAATAGTGAGAAAATCGTGAAAAGCATGAAAAGAATACCCATGAAAAGTGGCAATTGCAAAAGACAGAGGCAACGACGGCTGCTGGAAACCATGCGAAGCTACGGCTACCGCTACCCCGCCCCAGCCCACCACTCGCAGCAAAAACAGTCTCGGGCCGAGAGGCTCAGTTTACACCGCTCCTGCTGTAGTCGTCGATGGGCTGAGTCAACCTCTTTCATCGTCTTTTCCCACAACAAGATGTCCTTTTCCCTATCACCGGAGGAACCCAAGGAGACCTTGAGCGCCTCATTGGCCCGAGGGGCTGCAGCACACAGGTCATCTGGGTGCAATGAGGCCGGAGTAACCTTTCCCGGCAGAACATTGGATACAGGCGAAGTACCCACTAAGTCGAAGCCCGACCAGATATCCCTAGCAAGGTTTACATCATCATAGCCCTCGGCGGCAATGATTTCGTCAAGCAGCTGCAGACGCTTTTTGCAAAGGACACGTTTCATGTGCGGGTCATCGATGTCCCACGAAGGATCTGGGTCACGTTCAATTTCACACGCCCGTGTGGTCCACTTGTCAAGCCATCTCCTCCTCTTGTCTACCACAGCATGTGGCGGAGCCTTAGCAAGCATATCTACGCACGACTCAAGGTGGTCCGGCAGTGAGGAAAGTGAAGAGCTGGGATGCCCTGCTCGTACAGCAGCGCGCACGAACTCACTCTCATCAAAGGGAACCCCAAAGGTTGCATGATGAGTCTGCTGCACAGGCCCGGCTACAGGCTCAGTTTCCCCACTCTTGCACGGCTGGTCAGGAGGGCACGTTGCCGACGAACAGGTGACCAAAGTCGGCTGCACAGGCATGGCCACAGGATCAGTTTCCCCACTCTCAGCCTGGTGATCCGGGGGGCACGTCGTTGTTGCACAAGAGACCGGCATAGGGTGGCCAGGCAAAGGAAAGCCTAAGTCCCGTAAGACTCGCACATCATCCTTCTTTAGAGACCCGACCCGATTCGGTGTGAATCCGATCAACACGACTCTAGAGCCCTCCCAAGGCAAAGTGCAGTGAAAGCAATGTGCATCGAACTCCACAGGGTTGTCGCACACTTGCAGGACACGACCAGTAGCCTTTCCAAGGGGCGTGGCCCTTACATGCTGACCCTCATCATCCTGTACCCAAATGCCCCCTTTAGCAAAGTCTGTCAAGGCCATCACGTAGTTGGAACTCCCATCCAAGTTATTGGCACCCCGATGCATCGGAGTGCACACATTGGAGTATATTGCCACCGTGGCGAACATGGCATGAGGAAAGCGGGAACGCAGGAGCCTCACAGCCAACCGAACGGCATTCGGAAAAAGCTTGGTGTTCCTTCGTAAGCCACACAAAGTACCCTGGGAGTAGGCACCGGCAGACCAGGCCTTCTCCCGCGCATCCTTGACACCCCTTGCTGGAGTTTCTGCTGGTAACGTGTCGAAAACCTGCAGCAGCTGTGCTTGCGTAGGAATGTCGCACAAGTCCGCCGCTAGCACTTCAGCTTCACTGGTCACAGTCATCGCAGCAGCCCTGCTACCTGGGTCAGGCAAAGCTAAACCAAAAGGAGAAGGGGAGCCATCCACTAAACCCAAAGGGGGAGGAGGAGCAGGCAGGGAAACCCTAGGGGAGGACGTCGCCATCCTGTCATCTGCAATTGCAGCCGCGGGAGGGCTCCCACCAGCGGCAAACAGTGTCTCGGAAGATTTGTCACCGCTGACTGGCAGACACACCCCCTTCACAGACTCAGCAGCAGTGAAGTAAAGGGGGGGGAGCAGCTTGGCTCCAGCAGGCACAACCACATCATGCACACGCAAGGGCTGAAGAAGCCGGCGCTTGTTATCCAAGATGGGCACTGCACTCAAGGTCACACGAACAAAGTATTTGAACTCTGGCACTGGCGCAAGCAGAGGCTTGCGAGGCTGCTTACCTGTGCCAACCTGAGCTGCAAACAAAGGCGGTAAGCTTGAAGCATCTACATCAAGGTGTTCGAGCATGACGAGGGCCAAAGCCCGATACATGCGTCCCATAGCTGCCTCCAAGCTGGCTTTGACAAGCGGAGGCTGCACCACAGGCGGGGAAATGGCAGACAAAACTCGAGGGCACGAAGATGCAAACTTGATGCGACCCCGGGCACCGGGGGCGTAGCTTTTCGAATCCGCTAGCAAGCACAACTGTTTACTGAGCCAAAATGTTTCGCACACATAAACTATAAAACATATGTGAATAAATACACACAACGTTCTATAGGTTTAGTTGTGCTTGCTAGCGGAATGCCGAAGGCTTTAAGCTGAAGTGCAACAAAGCATCGCATGGAGTCTGAGGTATTTTCCAGGAGTGCCGATTTGTCTCACATGTCGTAACGAGTGAGACCCGAAGCATGCAGGTTGATGGGTGGCTGAGTTTTGCCCAAATAGAACTACCCAGCAACCTCGCTCCCGAAAAGCCCAAAACTATGTGAGGTTGTTCGGCACTCCTGGGGCTCGCACGGTCCAAGCCAGCGAAGCATCGCTTGGCGAAATAGAAATGGCTGGTCTAGGCAGCCAAAGATCACTGAGACGAAGCCTGATGCGATCAACATCGAGGCAATCTGGGGGAAACTCATGTTCACCCGGTCTTGAAAGTGCATCTGCTTTGGTGTTTTTCTCCCCAGGAATATGGGAAACGTCAAGAGTGGTACGGTAAACTGCGGCAAGCAAAGAAATGCGTTCAAGGAAATATGCAGTATAATATGCAAGTGGGCGTGAAGTCGTAAAAGATGCATTCACACCTGCTTCGGCTCCACTGTTGTCTGACACCGTCCGAAGCTTGATTCTAGAGCAAGGTATCAAGGCTGAAGATGCGATAATCAGCGCCCCTTGAGCGAGCGCTTCATAGCACGCAATGTCAAGCTGCATATCTTGCTGAACGGGAATCTGAAGCTCGCGGAATTCCTCATACGTGAATTCTTCCCTGAACCACCTTTGCCCTAACGAAGGATGCGACACGAATCCACCAATGCAAGCCCGCTGACCTTGGGCACTGGCATCTGCTTGTGCTTCCATTGGAAACACTGATGCCGGACGCATGCTCATCATAGGGCTCATGTGAAGTAGCCAGGACTCGTACAGTCCCAAGATGCGCACAGATTCTGTACTCAAACGACGCTTGTTGCTGGATTGACTGGACACACGCATCCAGATGCGTCTTTCTGTGATGCGAACGCTCTTTTGAACTCTTTGGGTCTTCACTGGTCAGGCTGAGTCAACCTCGTGTGCCGAGGCCTCCTTGGGCCCGAAGAGTGGTGCTAAGACGCAGTTTGTACAAGCCGTGAGAAAGCAGCTACCTCGAGACATGTCAGCATGAACATGAGACTGAACAACATGTCATGCCAACATCACTCTAGCTAGGTTTGTTAAGCTAGAGAAAGCTTCAAAGAGTTCGTGAACTACGTAGTCGGAAGCACAAGCAGACAGCCAGTACCACTACAGAAGGAGCGAGACTACAAGCAGGCTCAAGCACTCAAACTGTACACAGTGTTTCAGAGGAGCTCGTGGTAGCACTCAGTTCACGTCGCCAGCAGCCGCCGCACCAACAGCCACCGAACCGGCAGCCACTGCGCCGTCAGCCACCGCGCCCGAAGAAGCGGCCCCAGCAGCCGCCGCCCCATCAGCAGCTGCGTCGTCGTCATCGTGTCGCCCATTCCCGGGTCTAGCAAGACTTCGTTTCTCACACCACTGGCGGTATGCCTCGCCCGCCTGAGCTGAGAGGTTGATGGCCTGCTTGGTCCATTCGTGAGCTTCGCGTCGTCGTCGATGCCAGGTGGCACGGGCAGAGTTGTGGTGCCTCCTGTGCATAACATCACGTGCAGCGGCATCGGCTTTGTCGTTGAGCAGTCTGCACAAGTCAACAGGCAAGGGAAAGTCTGGCGTCCAAGTGGCCTGACGTCCATGTGCGGGCATCCATCGCAGATTCAATTTTAAACCGCATCTGGTGGAAGTTTCAAGATGTGTGGCGATTTGTTGCACGAGCAGCTGAAGGGTCGCACACGACCGTGACTTAAGTGCAGCAAGCGCGGCTTGACAGTCCACCAAGACGTACACTTCGCCTCGTGCCCCAGCCAAGGCAGCTACAACACACGTCTGGGCTAACTCACGGAGGGCCAGAAGCTCGGCACGGTAACTGGACTGGTCTTCGTCGTCGTCACCAAAAGCAAAAGTCGAGAAACGACCAGCCTGGTGAAGAACGATTGCAGAGCCAGCCACGTCTTCAAGGTGCGAGCCGTCGGTGGCAATGCACGGTTGAGCCTCCTGGTCTGCCGCCAGAAGATTGCGAATAGCATCGGCAAGCTGTGCATGCTGCAAGGGCATTGGCTCAGGCGCAGCAGGGAAAGTCTCAAGCGGAGGGGCAAAGAGCCTTTCAGAGGCGCGATCAGACGGAGGAACGACCGGGTTGGTCTCGCGCAATGTGCTTAGGCCCGGGCAGCACCACGTGAGGTGCGCTCTCGACGGTTCAAGCTTATCGCACATGCACACTTTGTCTGCATCAGTTGGTGTTGGGCGGTGGGACCCGCAGTGCGTGTGCCAAAAACTGGCTCCAGCTGCAACTGCGGCACGTTTTTGCGCAAGATTTTCGGGATTAAGAAAGATTTTTCTATGCGCGGCAAAACAAAACCAGGCCTGCCTAGGGGGCTTAGGGAGACTAAAACCCGAAGCGGCATTAGGGTCAACCCTGTGGTGCGAAGCTTTAATGCGACCGGCATTGTGCACGCCCTGTCGCACGTATTCTTCTTCCAGCCACTGGCGCAGGACCTTCAAGGAAGAGAATCCAAAGCGAAAAACTCGGCGGCACCCGTTGCTATCGGTTTTGGCAAGGCCCTCGCCATGAGGAAGGATGGTCCACTTGTGTTTTCGGACCGCCTCAGCCGCCACCGGAAACAGATCCGACCACGGATCGACGGCCTCCCGGAGTGGCACATCATCAAGCCAGGAAGGTCGCTGTGCAACGAAGGACTGGACACGACGAAGGGCTGTGTAATCTTGCATGAAAAAGGGGTCAGTGTTCCACCCCATCATGCAGTGCTGCAAGAAGTACGGCACCTCGGGAGTGAAGCTTCTGCGAAAGGCAGCAAGGACCTCGGACCTGATGGTGGAGAGAACGGCATCGCCCGGGGAAGCAACGCCAGCACACCAAAAGACAGCCGAAAACCCCAAAGTCCACATGAGTTGAGTTTTTCGGTGGATGGGCACGGGAAGGTATTTGATGAAGCGGAGGCGCCACAGCACACGATCTAGCACCAACCTGAGCGGCTTGGGGGTGCTGCCCGACAAGTCGATTTCGACGCCTAAAATTTCAAGCGAAGTTTTCTGCATGTAGCCCTGCCGTTCCGCCAAGTTCTGGAGGGAAGTGTCGCCAGGAGCTGCAATGACAGAGCATTTGGTGGGTTCGCACACTAAGTAGAAAGCTCTGTCGAACCTGGTGGATCGTTCCACCGCGTGCCCAATGGCTCGGGCAGGGTTGGCACTCTGCTCCGGCCAAAGAAGCCTGTCATCCACATACATAAGGCCTCGGATTGGGCCTTGTATGACATAAGAGCTCCAAGCCACGCTGACTGCCAACGCCAATAAAGGACTTAGTGGGTCCCCCTGTACCAAGCCTCGTGAGACAGGAGTCCAGGCTGCGGCCGCAAATCCGCCTGCAACGAAGAGCCGCTCGGCACCCGAGTAGACGCTATTCAAGATGTGTTCCAAGCAGCTGGGTGCACCGAGCCGTCTGAGGATCGGGATTACGGCGTTAAGTTGAAGATGATCAAAAAAGCCTTTTAAATCTTGCACGACAAAGGAATTTACTTGCCTTTTTAGGGCTGAAGCAATTCGAAGGTGTGCGTCTGCGGTTGAGAATCCCGGAGCCCCGCCGAAGGCACTCGGGCTGACCCAGGAGAGGATCCATTTTCTTAAACGTTTGCAAAGACATTTTGCACCGATGCGCCAAGCAACCTGAAGAAGCCCGATCGGGCGTGTTGACGTTACCCGTTTGGGTAACAATGCCACGAGGCCGCGACGCCATTGCATCGGCGTCTGGGCTCCCTGTAGGATGGAGTTCCAAAGGCGTGTGAACTGGACCCACCAGGGCATGGGTAATTCAAGCAGATGATCAGACTTCCACGCGTCTGGCCCCGCCGCTTTACCTTTCATTTGTTTTGCGACTGCAATCAGTTCCTCCGGTTCAAAAGAAAATTCGCCAGGAAATTCATTTGAAAAAGGGGCCCTTTTTGGCACTGTTTCAAGGATGCTTTGCATGGTAGGGGTGGTGAAGTTTAAGTCTGCTGGCGCAGTCCACAATTCTGCCCACGCCTTGCCGTGTTGCTGCAAGATGGAAGTCGGATGTATCGCCGAGATGGCCTTGCTGACCTCCGGTGGCGCGGCGGCCGCATCACAAGCCTGCTGGGCGCGGGCTTTAACCCAAGCGATTTGCTTGTTGGGCTGCACCTGAAGTCGCTGCCTCCACTGAGCCATGGCAGCGGAGCGTTCCTGTGCCACGTAATCCTCAAGCAGTTCGTTAACGCTGGGCAAAGCCGTTTCCTCATGACCCTCTGGGAGCGAAGGGAGGTCCGGCACGCTCAAGCGAACACCTTGCAAGGATGATTTTACTTTCAAGCGGAGGCGATTGTTAGAGGGGTCACGTCGTAGCTCCTGCATCCGGTGACTTAAGTGTCTTAAACCCTGCAGTCCCTTTGATTCGCGACCGTGGACTGTGATGCAAGATTTTGGGAGCTGCTTGGGTCGCGGCTCACAGGGATCTGAGCGGGGCACAGTGCCAGGCTTGGCACCGAGATCACAGAGGCACTGCTCCGCGGTCCACGACAGTATCCTCCAAGCTTCGTTGGTGTTACCTGCATCGAGGACCTGTTCGAAGGCTTGGTGAGGCCAGCATTCGCTGAAGGATTCGTGTATATCTTCCTTAGATCGATCCCTGATTTTGGCCCGAGGGGGAAGCTCAAAACCTGAAAAGTTAATCGAAAGATTGAGGCAGTAGCCTACAGTGGTATGAT